TGATGTGATGGACAAGACCCAATCCTAAGCCTAGCACAAGATCATGTAGTTCGTATGCTAAAGCTTTTCTAATGTCAAGTATCATTTCCTTAGACCATGAGATTGTGCAACTCCCGGATACCATAGGAGTGCTTTGGGTGTGCCAAACGTCACAACGTAACTGGGTGGCTATAAAGGTACATTACGGGTATCTCTGAAAGTGTCTGTTGGGTTGGCACGAATCGAGATTGGGATTTGTCACTCCGTGTAAACGGAGAGGTATCTCTGGGCCCACTCGGTAGGACATCATCATAATGTGCACAATGTGACCAAGGGGTTGATCACGGGATGATGTGTTACGGAACGAGTAAAGAGACTTGCCGGTAACGAGATTGAACAAGGTATCGGTATACCGACGATCGAATCTCGGGCAAGTACCATACCGCTTGACAAAGGGAATTGTATACGGGATTGATTGAGTCCTTGACATCGTGGTTCATCCGATGAGATCATCGTGGAACATGTGGGAGCCAACATGGGTATCCAGATCCCGCTGTTGGTTATTGACCGGAGAACGTCACGGTCATGTCTGCATGTCTCCCGAACCCGTAGGGTCTACACACTTAAGGTTCGATGACGCTAGGGTTATAAAGGAAGCTTGTATGTGGTTACCGAATGTTGTTCGGAGTCCCGGATGAGATCCCGGACGTCACAAGGAGTTCCGGAATGGTCCGGAGGTAAAGATTTATATATAGGAAGTCCTGTTTCGGCCATCGGGACAAGTTTCGGGGTCATCGGTATTGTACTGGGACCACCGGAAGGGTCCCGGGGGCCCACCGGGTGGGGCCACCTGCTCCGGGGGGCCACATGGGATGTAGGGGGTGCGCCTTGGCCTAGATGGGCCAAGGGCACCAGCCCCTAGAGGCCCATGCACCAAGATAAAGGAAAAAGGGGAGAGTCCTAAAGGGGGAAGGCACCTCCGAGGTGCCTTGGGGAGGATGAACTCCTCCCCCCTCCTTAGCCGCACCCCTTCCTTGGAGGAGGGGGCAAGGCTGCGCCCCCCCCCTCTCCCCTGCCCCTATATATAGTGGAGGGGAGGGAGGGCATCCATACCTGAGCCCTTGGCGCCTCCCTCCCTCCCGTGACACCTCCTCCTCTCCCGTAGGTGCTTGGCGAAGCCCTGCAGGATTGCCACGCTCCTCCATCACCACCACGCCGTTGTGCTGCTGCTGGATGGAGTCTTCCTCAACCTCTCCCTCTCTCCTTGCTGGATCAAGGCGTGGGAGACATCGTCGAGCTGTACGTGTGTTGAACGCGGAGGTGCCGTCCGTTCGGCACTAGGATCATCGGTGATCTGAATCACGACGAGTACGACTCCATCAACCCCGTTCACTTGAACGCTTCCGCTTAGCGATCTACAAGGGTATGTAGATGCACTCTCCTTCCCCTCGTTGCTAGTCTCTCCATAGATAGATCTTGGTGACACGTAGGAAAATTTTGAATTTCTGCTACGTTCCCCAACAGAGTTCAGGATCACTTCTTGATCATTGCTAGCTTCACGACCGTTCCGCTTGCTCTCTTCTCGCTCTTATTTGCGTATGTTAGCCACCATATATGCTTAGTCGCTGCTGCAACCTCACCACTTTACCCCTTCCATTCCCTTTAAGCTTTGCTAGTCTTGATACCCATGGTAATGGGATTGCTGAGTCCTCGTGGCTCACAGATTCCTACAACAACAGTTGCAGGTACAGGTTATGCGATGATCTTGACGTGAGAGCGATGTTTGCTTGTTTCGGAGTTCTTCTTCTGCTTCTTCTTCGATCAGGGGATAGGTTCCAGGTCGGCAGCCTGGGCTAGCAGGGTGGATGTCGTTTGAGTTTCTGTTTGTGTTTCATCCGTAGTCGGATGATGCTCTAATGTATTGTGATGTTGTATTCGTGTGGCATTATATGCCTCTTGTATGTATCCCCATCTATTATGTAATGTTGATGTAATGATATCCACCTTGCAAAAGCGTTGCAATATGCAGGTCTATCCTTGGTGGGTTCTTCGAGTTCCTTTTGGATAGGGTCACATATTGGGCGTGACAATTAACTTGGGATTACTGTAGTTTAATTATCCAAACGTCAAACGCCCTCACGTAAGAAAAAGCTAAGGAGGAAAGCCCGACAAGGTCGACCCGGCACCCTCCTTTTCCCACACTTACCGCTGCATGACCAACCGCGCGATAGCCGGCTTCGCTAGTTGTCGTTAGCCGGCCCAATGGGTGTTTCGCTCGTGCTCAACGTTTGAAAAAGCCTAAGTATTGTCCGCTTCTTCTAAGGTCGAATCCCCAGCCACAGCCGGCAGCAGGACTGACACCAAATGAACTCTAATTAGCAACCTAAATCAAGATACAATCTACAATAGGAAAAAAGAACAAAAATCAAAGCATAAACCAATGATTTAACCGGAGCTTGAGAATAATGACAAGGGGATAAACTGCATAGGTAATAGGGGATTGACCTAACCTGTAGAAGATCAGAACGAGAATGATGCTGAGTGGCACAAAGGTGGAAGTAGAAGACATGTGAGACTTGAGGCATCGCCGTGCTCCAAACTATGGCAGCAAGGGATACATCCCTCTTCGCTGCCTCCCTCTTGCTTCTTCAGATTCAATTGTTTGATGACACGGGGGATGGGCCAGAGGGTATGGAGTCCGGGCAACCACATCGCATCTCCTCTCCGTCGCGTGGTCTCCTTCTGCCATCGCTACGACCACTGTCCACCGCTCTACCTTTTTTTTATGATTACATACTGCTCCATCTCTTCAAAGGGTCAACCCTGCATGGATGTGATGGGGATAATTAGGACGAGTTGGGTTTACATGTCCAATACTGTCACTCGCTCATGTGGTCTGACTAATGACAGGCTTCCCAGGTATATTTCCGGAACAGCAAACCTTTTACAACTGGTTAGCCCCTGGTAGAAAGGAGGCAACCATGCTGTTGTCGGCGGGGATGTAAAAATCTGGAGCGTTGGACATTCAATCTAATGGTTGAAAACGTCAAATCGTTGTGAGAGGCCCTAGCTAGCTCCATTTTACTGTTTTGTAATATCGAACTTTTTTAAATTCCGCCTGTTACGATCAATTTACGTTAGAAGTATGATGGAACATTTGACGCGTGCGGTAAAATGGTCGGCTCTGCTGTTATTTGTGTTCGTGGACGGTTTAGTGTGTTCGATATGTGCACCGGAGATGCCTTAGAGCATCTCCAATAGCCGCGCTAAAATGCAGCGCGCGCGCTCTCGCATAAACACTACAGTGCATACATGTTCTCATGGCATAGATAAACGATACAAAGATATTTTACATAGTTTATAGCATAGATAGATAAACAAGTTCATAGCATAGATAGATAAACAGAACTACGGTGCAACTACATAAAATTAAACTACGGTGCAGCTAGAACTACTCCGAGTCGTCCTCATCATCATCCTCATCCGCATTGGTGTTGTCCGAGGTATCGATCCATATGTCCTCCAACGTTCATCGTCTGACGTGAAGATGGACTTTCCACCTGCTTCAACGATATCACACTGCGATATGGCCAGTGCCCGCCAACGCCAGTCCGCCCGCTCCGCGCGGCGCCTTGCCGTCCTCTCCACTCAGTAGGCGCACTCGTCGGCGACGTCCTCCGGTTGGCGTCAGCGCCACTCTGCCATGGCTCGCTCGTCCTCCTCGGCGATGAGGAGGCGGCGCTGCCGCCGAAGGTGGTCTGCACGGTCCTGATCCGTGATAAGATGAGGCGGAGGGGCGACGGCCTGCGCATGTTCGCGCGTGTAGAAGTCACGGAAGTTTATCTGTGATGGAGGCCTCTTTAGGCGCCACGCTGCCACGTGGTAGCGCGGGCGGCCTCGTGCGCGGTCCGGAACGTGCCGAGGCCGAGCCGGATGTCGCCGGACCGGATCTCGGCGTAGTACCAGCCATTGGGACGCTCGCGGACGCCGCGGTAGCCCGAAGATCCCCGGTGACGCGGCGACATGACGGCGTGGTGATGGCGGGGCGCTGGAAGCGGCGAGAAAGCGGTGGAAGCGGCGTGGAGACGGGGAAAATGGGCACGTGACCGTGTCATGAAACGCGTGGCGAGCGCCGCATATTATTAGTGCGCGCGAAACGACGCGCTAAATCTACCACGCGAGCTGCCGCTATCTCCCGCGTGCAATTGCTTCCCACGCGCTAGTTTTTCGCCTCCGCTGGAGCGCTGCTCGTTAATCCCGCGTGCGTCTTTTGGCGTGTCCGTTGCAGATGCTCTTAGGTTTTCCGTCTCGCACGCTTCGTTTTAGCCGCAAACTCCACCCAACCACCACCGAT